CTTTTTTTTTTTTTTTTTTTATCTGCATATTTGTTCAGGATCAATGTCAGAACATTTTAACACCAGAGATGGCCAGGCAAGCATCTATATTTCACAAATGCATTGTGCAGTAAGGCTGCCTTTACTGATCAAAGTAGAAATGAGGCCCTAAATTAAAATTATCATCAGACCTGTCAGATTCTGATGAGGCACAATGGCTCTGCTGATATGACAAAAATGGGGTGTCCATCAAACCGTAGGCCCAGATTTTAATTCAGTTTGATCAATTCTAATGAGCATTAAACGGCCTGAGAGTCCAAAAACCTTTTAGTATTTGTATTGGTTGACAAACGGACAATGTGGTGTGGGGCTTAAAAGTAATGCAGTCTCAAAAAATGGCAAACATTATAAAGAGTTAATTGTTTTCCTGTATAGCCACAATCTGCCAAGGTGTGTGTGTGTGTGTGTGTGTGTGTGTGTGTGTGTGTGTGTGTGTGTGTGTTACTTTGACTGCTATCACATAAGGGTGCTTACAAGCCCCCCATGTGATAGCAGATGGTGGTGACAGGTACTCTTTAAGGTGATGCTGGGGGTCCAAAACCAGTGTCACCTTTACACTAGAAATAAGCTATTGAAGTGCAGATCGCACTTAAATGGCTTAAAGCTGGGCTGCAGGAGCCTAGAACTGACAGCCCAGGGACCGGAAGTGATGCAATCTGCATCGCTCCCGGTCCCATAGAACGGAGAGGGGATCGATTAACGGAAGTTCGTCGATCTCCTCCCCAGCTTCCTGCGGACTCCAAGGAAGCTGGTCCCGGGCCCTTAGGAGGGCAACTGAGCCCGGAAAGCACGGCGGGGTGTCTGGGGGGGGGCGGCCCCTTCAGGACACAGAAGCGATCTGGCGACAGGTAACTCGCCAGAATCGCTTCTGTTGTAAAGCAGACAGTCGGCTTTACAAGTTTAAACAGACCTGGCGGTAAGGGCCGCCGGGAGTCTGTTTAAACAGCCCTGATGCTGGCGACGTATACTGTACGTCCTCAGTCACGAGGGGTTAAACTATATATAAACCCAAAAAACATAAATTCTATATGTTGCAGCTGTGCAGTCCAGACAGACCAGTCCTTCTTCTTCTTTTTTTTTTTTTTTTTTTTCCCCCCCACCTGGTGATTCAGCCCGTAACAACTTCCTGTCCTAGGCAGATAACGCCCACTCATCTTTCTGTAACAAGGCAACAAAACATGATGGGATTAGGCAACCCTGTCCCTCTTCTATTGCCCTTTAGCATAAAGTGTAATGGTTCTGTAGACCTCAGAGACCAATGACATTAGTAACCGTCTGTATAGGTGGAGATTACCTGAAGTGACCAGCTCACAAGATTTCTGGCAAAATCAACAGGGTTGACCTTTTCCAACAGAACAACCTTTTTTTTTTTTTTTTTAATTACATATTTAACAGATTAAAATGAGCCAAATAAGATAAGTCTGTTGTGAGGGTTTATATACACCTTAATAATCCTGTATTTAAAGATATAAATGTGTGATGTGACTGATCACAATACAATGTCTTCTCATTTTGTAGGTTGAAAGTTGTGGACCTTCGCTGAAAGCCACATCTGGATACAATCCTGCAGAAGATGCTGCTAATATTGAAAAGGCAATAAAAACTAAAGGTAAGAAGTCTATGCCAGGAATAGAACCTTCACTGTTAGGCAGCTTAATGTGTTTGGATTCTCTGTAAAGGGCAGGTTCACGCCATTTTTCTGGACCAAATCTGGTTCAGAGAATGGTGTGAACCTGCCCACAGTTCCAGGGCATTACAGACCAGACAAAATGAGAAGTGCTGTATTTGTCTGGTCTGGAATGGACTGCGCTGGTGTGAACAGAGGCCAGAAATAGCATAGGGATACATTAGGATGCGTTTGGGGTCTGGAAACGGTCTGAAGATCTGGTGTGAATGGGCCCTCATTCTCTTTACATACTTTACTGATACTTTAACCCCTGAGCAACAACTGGTAGTTCCAAAAGCCACCCTGAAGTTTTTATTCATGCAACATTGTCACTGTCTTAAACATTTCACCCCTCCCCCTAAATATCCTTATTTTTCATATTTGAAAGAACTGGAAAAATATGTGTAAAGTGTCATGACTTGCGTAACAATCATATTTCTTCTATTCCTTAGTTGAATACATTAAGCTGAAAATGAGTTTCTGTTCTTTGCACATTCTTGGTAATTTGTGCTTCCTTATTACACAAGCCAGTATTCTTCTGAATGCATATATTAAATTAAAATTACTAACTCTAAATGAGTAGTGATGGGCTGAACACACCTGAGTTCGGTTCTAATTCGAACTTTCAAACAGGGGGGGAGGGGGGGGGGGAGTTCTAACTCAAACTTAGGACTCTATGTAAGTCTATGGGACCAGAATGCGGGAAAAATCAAATGTCCCCATATTGAAGGCTTATATGCAAGTTATTGGCCATAAAAAGGGTATGGCGATCCGGGTACTGCCTTGGGGGACATGTATCAATGAAAAAAACCCTTTTTTTAAAAAAAAATTGTTTTTAAAGGAGCAGTGATTTTTAACTGCTTAAAGGGAGACTATAAAAATGAAAAAATCCTTTAAATATCATGCCTGAGGGGTCCCCTTAAACTGCATGTAAAGTGGCACATTTGTGTGGTGTATAGAACCTGCTGCAGCAAAGTTACATTTTAAAAATATAAAAAAAACGACCTATAAATTGCCAGTAATTGGTTTTCCTTTTAATATTTTAAACAACTGCTTGGGGAGGCAGCCTGTATGCAGAGGCCATGTTTTAGAACACTCGGAACAAGGTTAGAGATTTTTTTGGGGATAAATTCTGGTGCCTCTTTTACAGACGTTGGATGAATTAACGGGTGCTTAAAACTTGAGCCTTTAGTGTTGGCAGTGCTTTCACACCGTAATCGTTCAGAGTTATTCTTGACAAGTGCAGACTTGGGATCTTGCTTCCCTCACCTGTCCTCCTTGTTGGCCTTTCAGACATGATGTGGGGCTTATAAAATTTTATTAGAATGTGGGATGGGAAATTGGTGCTTGGGTGCAATACTTTATCGAATTTGGTGCACTATTAACTGTTGTACAATGGCATATGATAAAAAAAAAAACTGGAACGCATGCAACACAAAAGGGGAAACCGCAATGAGGCCCCAAAAGAACCTGCTGCTGAGAAAAAAAAGTAAAAATAATAAAAGAATTAAAAAAAAAACAAAAATGAACACCAGTGGCACAGGAGAAACACCCCCAGTGACGCCACTGGCGCACACACAAAAAGAGACCGATTATACAGCACAGAAAATGCTATATACAGTACACATCAATACACTGACACCAGTTACCTTTCACTTCGCTGCACTACAATATACTACTCTAACCGAAACTCTCTAACTCCAGCAACACACTATATAAGGCTGCCGTGTAAGCAGCCTTATATAGTGTGGGGCTGGGACTTGGCTGTGAGCCATAATTGGGCAAAGTCATCATCACTTTGCCCAATCATGGCTCATACAAAGGTCAGTCTTTCACCTGACCTTTGAGGTAAAGCAATGCACCTGAACAATCAGGGCTCTCTAATGCACACAGTGCATTGTGGGGCGCTCGGCGGGCAAACCATCGAGCCCATGCCTATAAATGAGGGAAAATCTGTTCAAATGGGGCACACGGCTATAAACACCCAACAGAAGTTCTAAACCTGCCCCACTCTACCCAAAACTTTTTTTTTTTTTTAACGTCTTCCAGTTTAGTGTCTGTGCTTGAATCTTGATGCCTCATACAATGCTGGTCATGTGTATATTCCAATTTTCCATGTTTGAATTTAGTTTTTCATATGCGTTTTGTCTTTTTGTTACCACAGGGGTGGATGAAGGCACTATCATCGATATCTTGACTAAAAGAACTAATGCTGAACGCCAACAAATCAAGGCTGCTTATCAGCAACAGACGGGAAAGGTAGCTGGGAAAAACTTGAGTCATAAAATTTGATATATAATATACCAGGGCTCAAAATTTCCACTCGCCTGCTCGCATTTGGCGAGTGGAAATGCAGTCAGGCTTGCGGTCACTGACCCACGTACCTGACCCGTGGGTGCAGCTGCTCCTGCTGGGCTCTCCGTTCTTTCAGCCGCAGGCTCTGGGTCGAAAATGAAGTGATTAGTAAGGACTGCAGCAGCCTCTGCCTGATCACCACCTCCTCCCTGCAGAAAGACAAGCAGGTGAGGGGGCTTAATTGTTTTACTTTACATGGTTGGGGGGCAGGGAACAGGGGGGTAGGGGGTAATATTTTATGTGGGGGCATGGAACAGGGGGGGAAGAGTGTATTTTATATGTGGGGGCAGGGAGCTTTATGGTAATATTGTTAAAGTTGTTAATATTATTTTTTGTAACTTTATGTTGCATAAAAAAAGTGTAATTTATAAGATTATTTCAGAGGGTGTGTTTAGGGGCAGAGTTAAGGCCGGGGCAGGGTAGGGGTTAGGTGGGCAACTGGTGGCAAGTAACTCTTAAGGTCTGGCTAGTAGCTCAGGACTAGAAATGTTGACCCCCTGTATTATACTATAGAATACAGAAGGAGGAAATTCCCTGGTCAAAAGTAGGATCAATATATGAAAACCGAGGCATAAAGGTAGTTGTTACTGTAGTAGCCATTCAGACCTATTGTTTCATATGAAACCTGATTTTAGATGCGAAGGACAAGAACTCCAGCTTCTTTACAGTGAATTCTTCTTTACTCTGTTTTGGTCAGAATAATGTGTTGGAATTGGCCCCCTCCTAAGCCTTGGTCATCTAAGACACCCTAGAAGAAGTAATGGGAATGATAAAATGTTCGTGAAGATGGACTCTCACAGCAGTGGCAGATTGCAGAAATGGGGAAATAGAGGTGGGCAGTATTAACACATGCAGCCTAGCCCTGCCTAATTGCCATTCCACTAAGATCATATAATTGGAGGCCTTCACTGACAGGAAAAAGGCAGTGGATGACTGATACATTTTCTAAAGTTCGGGCCCTTGCCTGTTACCACAAGGGAGAAGTTTTGCAGTTATATGTTTTGGATACAGGATCATCACAGTGCCACTCTATTGTCTCAAACTCCACCTTTTTATTTAATATGGTTTTAACATTTTATTTAACATACTTATGTCTTCTAGAGTTTAGATGATGCATTGAAAAAGGCGCTCTCAAGCCACTTGGAGGAAGTTGTTTTGGCGTTGATGAAAACCCCAGCCCAATATGATGCATGTAGCCTGAAGAATGCTGTCAAGGTAAGGAACTGAAACAGCATTGGGACAATTTTAACATCCCATTTTTATTACAATCTCATCAGTGCTTATCACGTTTTTGAGGAGACAGTGCATGCAACATACTCTTGTGTTAAACATACTCTTGCCGGTTAAACAAGCAAATTTTAGATAAATTGTGAACCTACAAATGTGTATCATAAACTTTTTAACATCTGCAAAATGCATAAACAGAAGAATAAACCCATTGCCAAAAACATTACAAATGTGTATACTGTAATGGGGAAGCGCTACAAACTAAGTGAGAGGGCGTGTTACGGAGCCAGGGAGGAGGGAATGGGAAAAGGTTGGGAGGAGCAGTCTTAGTTTCTGTAGCCGAGTGATATGTTCAGCGGTCGATCCAATTTCTTCAGATGATCCCCAGGAAACATAAATGTAAAATGCGACGGTGAGGATACGGTGTGAAACAGATCAAAGAAAAAAATGTAGAAACTTACTCTTAAGTGAGGAGTGTTGTGAGGTCATCGACGAGTAAGGATAGATGGTGCCACTTCAGGAAATTCCTGACTGCGAATCTTTGTTAATGGAAACTTTTTTTAAAGGAACGAACGGGGAGGGTCAAAACAGTGGGCGTGGACCAGGGAGGAGGAACAAGGCCAATGGGGAGACGGGGGGCGGGCCCATAACCCTGATGTACACACTGAGGGTAAATGTAAAGCGTTTGGTTGGGGACGGCTTGGAGGCAGATTCAAAAAATGAATGTGAATCTTTGAGAATACTGTGCTGGTTTAGGACACATTTGTTAGATGACCCTCCACCAATTGGAAATTCTTCTTTCCAATTGATGGGCTTTTTATGTTGTGGTGGGTGTGTTGTGTTTTTTTTGTGCTTAAAGCTCCACATTCACTTACAAAGCATCTGTTCTTGGAGCTTTTTTTCACAGCACGCTGCAGTATCTTTTGCATAAAATTTTCAATGTGTGCACCTAAACCGCTTTACATCATACCACATACGCTCACCACACCCCCTAATCCCTACAGATAAAATATACACTATTTAGGTCTCTAATTTAAAACTCTGCTACTGCTGGACAATCTTGCATTGCTATATCCTCTGCAGAATCCTGATTCTTGTAGTAAAACCCCAGCCTGTGCTCTTTGTATGACATACATTTAAGCCTAGCCTAGCTCATTAAATTTGTCCTAGTACTAGCCAATTTTAGATTACTGTGTCATCTGCAGGTTTCGAATTCTTGAAGTGAAATGCCTACCTGTACTCGAGAGAAAATGGCCAGAAAATGGCGCTGGCAGATCAGTTTTGCATAAGCAAGAACAGGGGCAGCCATAGTGAACGAGTGACCATTTTCTTTCCACTGGTTAAAGCGTGCACATTACCGTTAGCGCATTACATATAGATAATTTTTTTTAATTTTCGGTGCTGCTACTCTATATAAGCCAAACTAATTGTAAAATGAAGAAAAATAATTCCACAGCCAAATACAGTATAGTATGTATTATACAGGCCAAAATAAACAAAGTTTAGAATCTGCCCCATCCACTGTGGTGTTCTGTCCCTCATGTGCTAATGAACAGTTTGCACTCTGAAGGAGTGAGAAAAAAAAGATATTCACACTGTTCTGTACTGTGTAATTTTTATTTTTTAAACAATACACAGCATGAAGCAGAAGTAGGAGGCAAGGTTTTAAATGTTTGTTTTAGCTTTTCCTTCTACTTGAAAGTGGTGGTCCAGTTTCTCAGTCAAATTTGAGAAAACCCCATTAGGTTTCCCATTCACAGAGCATACCCCCAAAACATAAAAAAAAAATACATGCATACATGCATACATGCATACATGCATACATGCATACATGCATACATGCATACATGCATACATGCATACATGCATACATGCATACATGCATACATGCATACATACATACATACATACATACATACATAGTATCTCTCAGAAGTGAGTACACCCCTCACATTTTTGTAAATATTTTATTATATCATTTCATGTGACGACAAAGAAGAAATGACACTTTGTTACAATGTAAAGTAGTAAATGTATATCAGTGTACATTTGCTGTCCCCTCAAAATAACAACACATAGCCTTTAATGTCTAAACCGCTGGAAACAAAAGTGAGTACACCCCTAAGTGAAAATGTCCAAATTGGGCCCAATTAGCCATTTTCCCTCCCTGGTGTCATGTGACTCATTAGGGTTACAAGGTCTCAGGTGTGAATGGGGAGCAGGTGTGTTAAATT